TGGTATGATATTATCCTTCAACATCTGAAAATACTTTTGTGATGTAACATTACCTTCAAAAAAATATGGTCCAACGACGCCATTTGACCATATTCCTCCCCAAACAACCACCTGTGGTACATTGAGTTCTTGTTCAATAACGAGGTGTGGATTTGTATCACTCCAATAAACGCAATTGTGTCTATTAACACGACCGTTTACTTTGAATATGGCCTCGTCCGTCCATAGAATTCGATCCAATAGAGTTGGATCTTCTTCAAATGAATCTAAAACCCATTCACAAAATTCTGTTCTTCGATCTGGATCATCTTCGTTTAAAGCTTGTAATAATCTTGGTTTATATAGTTTTAAATTTAGATCCTGCATAAGACGGCCTAAGCTTCTACGGGAGATACCAAGATCAATTGATGCACGTTTTTTAGATGTTTGTGGATTCAGAAGAAAAGTTTCAGAAACACGTTCCATATTTTCTTCCGTTCTAACTGTTCTCGGTCTTCCACTTCGTGGTGCATCTTCAACAGAACCTGTTTCATCAAACTTTTTTGCTAGTTGGTAAATTGTTTGTCGTGTTGGAATTTTTGTATTGGGAAATTCAGCTTGAAAAGCTTCATTTACTACTCGTGTATTTCCTGATATCCACCATTGTTTCACGAGAAAAATTCTTTGTTCGTTTGTTAGAGATCTCGGCATCTGCAAAAATATGAGGTCGAAGTAACAGTTACATATCGAACAGACAAGCAGTCTTACTGAGAATACACAAAAACACGTAGACAGATACGGTAGATGAATATGACCAACAGTATAGAAGATAAAAGATTTATATGATATGAGATATGAACGTGGACTATAGTAAAGCAGAAGGAGAAAAATAGGAAGAGAAAATATATATGAATATAAAGCACGTGTTTTACATAACCCATGTAAATATTTTTTGCCTCAAAACGCGTCTGAAACGCGTTTCATTTGCGTGCGAAACGCTAAGAGTGAACGCGTTTGAACGCGTCCCCAGTGAAACAAACGAAGCGTTTAAACGCGATTTATTTTAGAAACGCGTGTGAATGCGCTTCTAGCTTGACTTGCGTTCAAATGCATTTTTAGCGAAAACGCGTCTCAGATGAAACATTTAATGCGTCTGGACGCGTTTCATAAAAAAACTAAAAATTTTGAAAAAAATATGATAATCCATTTCAGATTCGAACTGAGTTGCCACCATCAATATTTTTTGATGGTCTTAGCCTTCCCTGGCAAATGGATTAGATTTTACCTTAAGTGACGACGATCAGATTTGAACAGATGAACCAGTGATTAGAAGTCGTTCATACATACCGCTGAGTTATACTAACTCGAAATCTTGTCTTATTCAAAATAAAATATATTTGAAGACGAATTTCATCGGTTAAATACTTTATTTTAACAAGATGTATTTTTTTCGAATTCAAGAGTCTTAACACGTAAGATGACTTTTTAGTTATTTTTTTAAATAAGTTTTTTATTTTTTTAATAAAATAACATCTTTTTTTTATCATCTACTACACATAAAAAATATTACGATCTTTTTTATTGCACTGGTAATATGATAAATAATTTTATCGAAAAATTTAATGAATAGATAATTATTGACAACCAATTTAGTAGAAATATATGATGAAAAGTTACTAATAATATTATTTAAATAGTAGTATTTAACAATATTCTGAAAGGGCGTTGCATAGCTGGAAACTATTACAATATTATCTGACTATTTTTCTTACAAACTTTAGAGAAATATGGACTGTTCACCGTATGTTTAATTGAATTTTGTCTATTTTAACGTCATCTCAACATTCTTTATTAGAAGTCTAATGAAGTTTAGATGAATAAAATACATGTAAGCTGATGATTTTGATTATGCAGTTAACTCTTCTAGAGCAGCAATTTTTGGGTAAAATCGCGTCCGATACACAAAAAATAAACACTTTCAAAGGCACTCGAAAATATGATTGCGTCCTAACGCGAGCGAAAAACATATTTAAGACACGTTTGAACGCAGTTCGTAAACAAAATTTTTTAAACGCATTAAATTTTTTTCAGAAACGTGTCGAAACGCGGTTCATTTTTTTCTGATTGCGTTTAAACGCCTTGTATAGAAAACCTGCGTCCAGACGCGTTTCAAATTTTTTTCTAACTGCGTCTCAACGCTTCTCATATTACACCATGTTTGAACGCGTTCAGTCAAACTCTTATTAAACATGTACAAACGCAATTTCAATATGAAACGCGTTGGGACGCGGTTCATAGTTTTTTTACAATTGCATTTCAACACGTTGCATAAAAAAACTGCGTTCAGACGCGTTTCAAAAGTTTTCTAACTGCGTCTCAACGCGTTTCATATTAAAAATGCATTTGAATGCGTTGTGAAACCGTTTTTAACTGCGTCTAGACGCGTTTTGTTGTGAAACCGCGTTTCAACGCATCGATCTTGCGTTTCGTGATTACATGGGAAGTTCAAATAATTTATTACATTTGTTCTTAATGAATTGTCTTTGCT